CCAAGCACAAACTAATCCAATCAGCAGTGACAGCACATTTGTTGACTCTGATTCGGTGTGGTGGGCTCACGGCGCGTATGAGTGATGCTTTTAATAAAGTTATTACGCTCATGCCTCGCTGCTTGCTCGTTCACTCGTTGGCTGCATGAGTGCAGTTTAATAAACTTTAAAAGCCTGGCTTGGAGATAAACTGAAATTAATGTTCGTTGCCAACTCTTAGATACGTGACGTTGGTGTGAATGAACTGATAATGGTCGCAAGTAGTGGTACGAGTATCCTGTGGAGGGAGCTGGCAGCGGAATTGGTTACGTACTAATGAGCACTCAAAGCGTAATTAATTGCAGTTTAGTTTTTACGCTCTTACTTTGAATTAAAATGTACGCCCTAAGCCAACACGGGCGAATGGCAAAAAAGCAACTACAAGAAAAAATCACTGCCATAACGTTTTTAAAATTATAAAAGTGTTGCAAAGCCAAACATTCGCACACTTGCACACTCGCACACCCGATAGACGCAGCTGCACACCGGAAATTGCCGCACACCTTGCAGTCATGCAGCAAAAACACAAATTTGTTTTTTTTTTGTTTTTTTTTTTGCCATAGACTGAAAAAAGAAACGATGACTGAGTGACCAGTGCTGGGCAATTGGGAGTGCTGGTCAAAAAAAAAAAAAAGAAAAGAAAAAAATAAACAAAAGAGGAGGAGACCAGGAGACGTGGTGGAAAGGCTCGCATGCGGAAATTATAATTTATTGCTGAAAAGTTGCGGCTGCCGACGACAGTGGTGGTGGATGTGCCCCCGCGCCCCTCCCGCCGCCCACCGTCCTCTTGTTTTCTGCCACGCTGCGTCGCCTCGCAAATTGGGGCTTCCCCTACCCCATCCACTCTGTTCCTGTTCGAGGGTCTGCCTTTAAAGCTGCTGTTAAAATTCATGCAAATTTTTTGCGGTGCTAATGAAACGCTTGCCAGTTCAATTTTATGTATGCATTATGCTTTTGTTTCGAAAGTAAAACAAAAGGATGTCAGCTCGCGGACCACAGTGCCTGCTAGTCTGGGGTAGTGGAAGGTGAGAAGTAGGTCCCAATGGCCGCCAGTTTGTGACGCACATCATTTTGATTAAATATTCATGTCCCGGCGCCTGTTGCCAGCTTGTCAAAGCGTTCTGGCCAACGTGGACAAAATTGAGGTAGTTAATTTGCTTTGTCATGCTAAAATGCAACATTGCGTGCTAAGCATCTTCTATGAAGGCCAGCGTATGTCATAGGATGGTCAACAGACATGAAAGAACTGGGTGCGGAGCCTTGGAATGATTCTCGGAATTAAGTGCGTGATAAAAAAATAAATGTAAAGCAGTGCGACATTTACTCAGAATTTAAACGACGATAACAATTTTTGTGACAATAAAATTTCAGCATTAACTTGATTGCCTAAAAAAATAGTTCTAGAGTTGGCAAACAACTATTAAACTGCCATGTAAAGAGAAAATATAATCTACTCTCACTAATGGCACAGGGAAATTTTCGGAGAGGAGCACAACTTATGCTTATGTTAACTTAACATTTGGCCAACAGCTCAGCTCTTCTCTTATTGTGCAATCAAAGAGGCCGAGCGGCGCTCACTCACGAGCACGAGCACAATGGGACTTTTTAACTCTTTAATGCCTGACATGATTCAATTTCCTTTCTACCAAATTTTCATGTGGCATCATCCTTTCAGTCGATGGCCTGACGTGAGCTGTTAAGCAGTTAGAGTGGAGGAAAAAAACATGATTTATGGGGTAAATACTACAAGTATATAGTGTAGTCCGTCGGTGGGGAGTGCGCTCTCTTTTTGGCTTTTTGGTAATGGAGATTACTTAACAGCGTTCCACTTGGGCGGTGTAGAGTTTTATCATCATAGGCGCGGGAATGGGGGATTTTTTCATCTGCTTCTTGTTTTGTTTACTCGAAATGTGAACGGGATTTTGTGAGTGGTGCTAGGAGAGTAGAGTAGATTCGTATCGATTGTCGGTCTTGCAGTGTCTCGTCAGGCCTCTTGAGTATGTGCTTAATCCATGACCATTTCCTTTGGAGTATTTCCGAGCAAATTGGCCTTTGGCTGCTGATGACCTCTGGCGAAAAGTTACACATTGTTATGCGTAGACATCGGTTGCTGGCTGGTTATTGAGCGCTTGAGGAAGGTCGATGTCCCTTGTTTCAGATTTTTGTTGCCATCGAGAAAAGCAAATTTGACATTCGGGTTGTCCACATAAGGTCGCATTAATCTTATTTTGTTTATATTGATTTCCAAGCCAGTAGCTGCTCCCAATCTATCGATGTCCTAAGTAAATGATTTCGCCGCACAACCGATAGACAACACAAACTTCTTTGGAGTCTATTTTAAGATATTTCACCATTATCTATCACAGTTCAAAATCATCTTCTACAAGTTCTATCTGCAAATCACACCATTTTTTAAAAGAGGGCTTAAACTTTTAAATGTTTTTGCAAGTTGCAAACTTTTAACAAAACTTCGAAAAGGGTACCTGTTGGCTGACTTTTTTGGCACTACTTTACTTTACCAAAAGCTGCTTTAAATTCAGAAGACTCCAACAGCTATTTTACCTTAATTGCCCTTCCTCAAAAATAAAGCAGCTTGAATATTTACAAGTGTATATGTATCGCACATATACTTGTAGTAAGTCCAGTTGAGTCCAAAATTAACTATAAATATTATTCATCACCCATTAAGCACTGACCTAATTTGAATAATTTGTATCACTTGATTAGGCAGTCCCATATTTAGTGAAACCGTCCCAAGCTTCTGTCTCCGACCAGTCGCTTTGGCTGGTTTATCTGCTTGACAACAACTGGCAGAGCTGGTCCTTTCAGCCAGACTATTTAACTACACATTTGAAGTGAGTTAGTAAGACCTTGTTGCTTAATCACAGTTTATCTTGCACTCCACAAAGGCTCGCTCCGGGCCTGGCATGACTAAGGTGTTTTGTGTGTGTCTGTGTCTGTGTAAGTCCTGAGTAGATGTTTCAATGAGCATCGCCTTAGTAGATTTTTCACGGTCTGCTTACAATGATGATTCAGGCTTGGCCTCGTTCTCAACCAGACGTGGAGTCGCTCGAGTTAGATGAAAATTGCATCGCTACATCAAATGCATTTGTTGTGATGAGCATGTCTGAGATGAACAGAGTGTACAGTGGGAATTGAACGTTGCTCCCCAGACATCAACAAGGACGATGAATGCATACAAGCAGTTATACATGTTTTTTAATTTTCAGCGAATAGTAATTTGTTATTCATTGACTAAAAGCCCTCGGGCGTGAAGGCGTCATAACGCAGAATAAAAAAAAAATAGTCATAAATTATTTTGCAAAATGTAATGTTTAAATCATTGTCAGCCTGCGGTTGCACTTTTTTTTTAATGTCCATGTTATATTGTTATTATTTTTAATCACAGTGTTCTTCATACTCGAGTGATTTGCGGTTAGATCAGCTTTTATTTTCAAATTATTCGTTTATCGAGCGGCAAATTTGCCTTAATTGTGGTTAATTTATTGTGAATAGACAATAAGTCCTTCTGAAATGCCATCACTTTATGGGCAAAAACGCCAGAAACAGGCAGCGTGAATAAGAGAGCAGCATTTATGAATACTTCTGCCGAATGTGTTTCTGAATATTTAATATCATAGGAATTTCGTACGCATACATTCATATGCATGGCCCATTTATTTATGGGCCAAATGCAAATAAACAAACAATTTGAGCGCAATATATATCAATGTCCTTTTAAAATGCATGAAATACGGCAACAAAGGACCAATATCGGGGAGGAAGCTGCCCCCCTTTTTCAGGTGTTTGCGCAGGGCAAATAAAATTGGGCAGCGTTCGACTGAAAAGAGCAAAGCAAAAAGAAATTGAAAATGCAAACTAGTCAATGTTAAATTTTATGTGACAAATGGCAAACATCCTGCTGACACGCACACCCACACACACACCTACACACACATCCACACACACAAGCAGATGTATGGAAAAAAGCGCTAGTAGCCCTTATCTGGAAGCTATATAAAAAATATTTATGTATGTTTTTTTAACGGCAAATAACTGCGACAACATTTTAACGCTTGAAACCATGCTCTTTCGCGCATTGTTCAACATTTTAACAATGATATAAATTTTCATTTATAAATTAAATATTGCCTGCATTGGCCTGAAATATTTATGATTGAGTGTGTTATTTACATATATGTTTACATATACAAGTATGCTTACGGATACAAATAGCACAAGTGAATCAAACATTCACTTTACCTTTAAATAATTCAAATATTGAGTGCAATAGTGGCAGCGATTTAAAATTCATTATTTCAATTTGTAATTGTGATTGAAATGCAAATAAAGGAATTAATGCAATTTAAGCTCGCAAGACAATAAAATGCATGCAATTGTTTTTCCTTGCCATGGTCCCAAGCCATATATTTGCCTGCCTTTATTTTATTCGGCACTACGTGCTTAATATAACTATTGAACTCACTATTTATAGTAACTACAGTAAATAGCTACCAGTGAAATTTCTATAAATACTCTTGAAATATTGGTTTAATGAAGTGTTTTTATTTTAATGAACAAAATAAATCCTTAAATATACTTGAATGAACTCAGAAGAATTTCGAGTTTTGTCTGATCGGCAAGAATGTGATTGCAAATTCTTGAGTTTCACAATAATGTTTTAAATGTAAACTGAGTACAAATTTGATACAGAAATTTATTAATCAGTTACAGCAAGACTTGGGTCTTACTTGTGAAAATGGGTCTGAAAAAGGGCAATAAAAAGGGGTATGTCTTTCAACATTTATACAAAAACGCTTTGGTGTATAATAACAATTCCATATAGCAAAATTAATTCTTAGCCCGAACCGAAATCTGTGATTTTCTAATCATAAAAATATTTGTTAAAATATTTAAAAGTGCTCCTAAAAAACATATTCAAAAAAAGAAACAAAGAGCAATTTAAATAATTTGAATAATATATATACAAGTAAATTGGAGAGATTTAGAACATAAATTAGAAATCGAATATACCATTAAACAACTCTGAACCAAATCCCGAATACAACTCTGGGAGCAGGAGTGTGCTTGCGCCGATGCGGTGCTGCCAGACTGGGCCACAAGAGCAGCTAACTATTTTTGAAGTCTTTAAGCTCTGACCGCATAAAAAGTCATACACTGTATTCAGGTTTTATGGACGCTATCTTTTGTGCTAGTTTACGGGTAATTTGTTTATTTTCCAGAAAGTATCTTAAACATCACTTAAATTTGTTTTCATTAAATAGTTCAGGCGTTTCTTTTGCTTTGGCGTCAGTTGAAAGAATGCTCTATTAAAGTATTCGATCTCTTGCTTCGTATGAAGCGGCGGCCACAACGAAGTATAGGAGAAAATGCTGCAAATATTGTAAACATAATTTTATTAGAGATATTAATGATTGTCCGATTACCTTCTGGCAAAGTGTTGGTCACATATTGAGCGTCGACTGGCTACAAAATTTGCTATTTCACGCTTCAATTGATTATTGTACCTTTTGGTAGCGTCCTTATACCGCAGATGGCAGTTCAGATTGCTGATTTATAAATGGACGTGTTAATTATTAATAGCTTCGAACAAGATATTGATTTTTGTTTGCTCACTAGGAAAATTTGGTAATTGTGTAGCTGGGATGGTGACTGACGTCCGGCTCGTCGTTGCAAACTCGATCGGTCTGTGCCCAGAGTTCGTCCAGCTGTGTGTACCGATAATAGCTGGGCTTCTTGGAGCTGTGGGTGAAAATATTCGATGTTGCTGTGGCCAACTTATGTTCTGGCACCGAATGCTCAGATATCGATAGAGGAAGAAGAGTGGAGGGAACACAGCCTGGGAGACTGCTTTTACTCGCGCTCCTCTTCCGCTGTCTAGAGAGGATGTGGCAGTCATTCATTTTGGAATTTATTAGTTTCGAAATGCAGACACTGAGAAAATTTTGTGAGTGTGTAAACAATATTCTACTTGTACTTGTTCATTCACATGTCAATGGAAAGTCTACTATATGGTACGAGTATATAAATTTTTCTGTAGACTTTAAGTGATTTTTGTTAATTAAATAAGAAACGAATGGAAAATTGTTGTGGGCTTTTTAATTTATCTGCAAAAGTGGGCATGCATTTAACAAAAACACCCTCATTAATATTTTAATTAAACAATCAGGCTTTAAGTGGACAGGCTCGAATGTACGCATTCATGCATACCGAGGCCTTATGCCAAAGGGGAAAAAACCAAAATAAATGCAATTAATGCCAACAATGCATGTAATTATGGCGGAGGCAGAAATAAAAGGGAAAAAATCATTGCACGCTTCTGGGCGCCATGAAATACAAACGCTGGCATGCGTATACTTAATTTAATTCTTACGACACGCTCCACAAACCCACACATATATACAAATATGCTCATATATAAGCGCACTGACTGATCAATCATCCAGGCAAGACACAGTGCACGGCCATAAGCCACACCGCAAAGTAGGCCTTAGCCTTGGCATCTGTGGCCCAAACGTTTGGCCACAAATGCTGCCTTACCGCCTCAGTCTACGGCGTCTATTAAGCAGCAATGTTGGCGCCGATGTCGACATTTAACAACTTGTGCACGTGTGCAATGAAAACAAACTGCCACATTATTATTATTTTTGGTCTTGGCCACAGGAACAAATGTGAACCGTCTGTGGAACGTTAACATTACTGTTCCCGTTGCCAGGACCACCGCCTGCGCCGTCTCTAGTATTGTCATGCATAGTCACAGCCCTAGCTGGAGGTGGAGTGCGTGAAAGCAATAGACCCTTAATCAAATCACGAAAACGAGAGGTCTGGCTGCCTCTGCGAATTTGTTTTTGATTAATATTGTGGCTGGCATTGTGATATTTTTCCTCGCTTTCAAAGCTCCATAGCCAAGCCAATGAAAAATTAAAGAAAATTGTAAACAATGTCATTTTTTGATTTCATTAAATAAATTTTCAATATTCGCTCAAATGGAAGTGTGGATTTTGGAAACAATTTGAATATTGGGTTTGAACATTTAAAGAACATTTTGCCTAACGGAGGGCTACACGGACATGTGTAAATAAAGAGCCCAAATGGAATGTTGGGTGTCTTCTTGTAGGCCCTATTTTACATAAAAATTCATTATTTAAATACAAATTAATAAAAATTGTATTTTAATAAGCTATACAATGCTTTAAACTGAATGTAATTAGGAATCAATACATCAACATTTACAAAAAAAAAATGTTTTTCTAGGTTGTTAAAAATCAAGTTCGTTTATTTAGAAAATAAATTAAAAACCTAACAGAATTATTAATATGTGTAGTTTTTGGGATTTCGTATGTAAAACTTTTCAAGAATTATTTTAAAAAACATGAATCTGACTGGCCAGGCAGCTTCAAGGTGGGCGTCCCACCCGCCGTCTAAAGGAAAGGCAACAGGTGGATATTTCAAACTAAGCTGTTAATGTCACTTCAAACTAACCATCTCTACATTACATCAGTATGAAAATCTTACAATTTGTTATGCTCTTAGTTAAATTTGGTTTAGTTTTGTAAGAGAAAATAGTAGTGTTATGTCCACTATTGTAATTCGATTTCTCGCTGCAGTCCTGTTCACAACAATCGGGTTCCTAATGTAATTATAGGGGTGAATAAACACTTGGCACGGATTGCCGTTTCTGTAGAAATTCATACAAATGTCGAATTTCAATAAAAATACGAGATATATTTGAATCATTACTCTATTCATCACCACTAAGAAAGTGTAAAGTCACCATGAAACTTCCCTAAGTGGAATTAAATGTGAATGAACAAGTAGATGGCTGCGTGCCGCCAAAATAGACTTCTGTAATTTGCTGCAGAAGATAAATTGAAGTTAATAAGCACCCTCACCAGTGCTGTGGGAATTAAGTAAGAGAGAACATTTTGATGCTAACTCTGTAAAATATGGTTTCACCCGGAAAGTTGGGGCGTTTTCTTGTTTTATTTACCTTCTGCTTCCGGTTCTGCTTTGCCGTTTTGTTTTCCGTGTTCAGTGGTGCCACAATCGCAGCAAAATTTAAGATTTAGGCAACCGTAAATCATCCATTGTTCCCATCGCTTGTGTATTGTGAGCATAAAAGCAGGAAGTACGCACCACTGAAAAATGTGGGGGGTGTGCTATATTTTTGAAAATTTTCTGGAGCGGCTGGTGATAACAAAAGCTTAGAATTTGGTTATTCTCATTAATTCTCCAGTAGTTGCGTCGTTAAAGAGCAGAGCTCAGAGTTGTAAGAATTTTACTTTGTTCGTTATTTAAAACTAAATACCGTTTTTTACCAGCCTCTCCTCTTCTTCTTTCTTCTTTTTAAAGAACAAATATTTTAATTATTTTAAATTATTTAAACCTATTTAAACCTGGCTTAAACCTATTTGGACCTACGGCTCTCAGTTATGGGATAATGCTTAAGCAACACAAAATTAAACAGGAAGGACAGTTCAAAATCCTGAGAATCATCAGTGGGGCTCACACAGAATTGGAAAACAATCAGCAAAACACCAAATAACAAAACATCACTTCACATTACTATAAAGTCCTCTTGAAATATCTCTAACCCGAGTTTCCAGTCACAACCGGCGGCAGCTTAACGACCAACCAGCTCAGGGACCTACCTCCTTTTTGAGGGCCGTCTAACATAAGTGCAATTCAATAATTAATTTAAAAATGAAATTGAATAAAATTTGACTTATTATTGTTAGCACCTTAAAAGAATAAGCGAAGATTTAATAAATAAATGATGAATGTTAAAAAAGAAGTGTTTGTTGTTATATTGTTGACGCTTTCACGCACTCTCCCATCACGTGTGGCACCCATCTCTAGTCGCAGTCGAGCAGCTATTTGTTGGGGCTGCTTTGAATCATGATAGTACTCGCATCGAGCCAAGTAAGTAGCTCCATGTGTGCTTCATTTCTTTGCCAACGAGGTGCCACACGTCTGTGCTGCTCTTTGTTCTGAGAATATGAGCCTTGAACTTGCTGTAGCCTGAATTGAACTCTAATTGCAGATAATGAATTGTAGAAGCACACTCACACGCACACAGACACACACTCGTACACTTCTACATGGTCAATGAACAAGGACTGCTCAGCTGCTGCGTGTATTATAGAGTATGTGTTCTTAATGGGAATACAATGAACTATTTATGAACTCGACAGTTAAAAGAATGGCGAAAACACACCAAATTGAGTAATACAATAGCAAAGTTTCCTTTTCTCGACTAAATTATTGATATTTCAGGAGCTGCGAATGTGTGGGTGTGGTCGTGTCTGTGTATGTGTGATGATAAAACAATAATGAATCATCATAATTAAGGCAAATGGTGGCAATGAACAATATACTTTCATTAATCATGCGCTCTATATCATTTGTTTGTCGCTTAAGCAGAAGCGAACAAGAAAAAGCCAATAAATATAGCAGGTCCATTTTGAAAATTAATTAAAGCTTTAATAAAAGCACTTAAATTCGATACTTGGAATTTATAAAATGAAAATTACAAAACTTACAATTGCCAAATGAAACTTCATTGCCACAATTATGAATGCCAAAATAAGTTTGAATTTTATTGTTCGTGATGTTGTTTTATCTGACTTTAATTTGAATGCAGAAACTTTCTTGGCAATTATTTATTCCACTGTCGTTTTGTTCATTCTCATTGCCACAATTTCCTCTGCCTGCCCCATGCTGATCAATATGTCAGCTTAATGTCGGCACAGCTCTCCAAATGCTTAACATTAACAACAAATCCGTTTTATTGCACAAACCCCGGGGGCATTAATTAAAGGTTTACGCACGTAATGCGTATTAAGAGCCACCGATGGTGTCGCTGCCCCAACACTTAAAAGAACCAAAACAAAACGTGTGCCACTGAATGTGGCTAATTTGCCAAATCAGATATAGTCCCAAACGCACCAACACACATACTCGTACATATCCCAAAAAGGCAAATAAACAAACACACTCACCCACAAATATGTTATGGCATTGGTAGTTCTGTTGATTGGCGTCAATTTTATAGAGCCACAATCAAATTGGCCAAGGATTAGAGTTACAGTTTTGGCCCAGTTAATGTAGGCAGTGGGGCATTGGGTATTTAGCTATTCAATAAATTGATATAGCGATTCAAGCAGATGAATTTAAATAATAATGATATGGAGTATGTATTTTGTTGCAGGGACTCTGGTAATGAAAGAGGAACACTTGCCGACCAGCTTGTTCAGCCTTTGAACATACAATCGGGAGGAGACCCATTCGAATTTAGATATTACTACCGTTGAAGAAGGCTTTTTGAGGGCTAAAAACCCATTCATTTCTATCAAATCTTAACATAGAAACGTAGACTTAAGGCTTTAAGTTTTCTCTGTGTAAATGCCGCGTAAGTTTTGCAGTTAAGACTTATGTTTGAAGAAAACAACATGTAGGACTCTCCGATATCTACGCCTTACTTCGGCATCTCTAAAGTGAGTTTCAATTTCTTTGTACACTGAATGTGTCAAAAACTCTTAATTTCTCCTCCTTTTAGGTGTTAACTGTCAATTAAATTTCATTGCGAAAAAGACTTTCATTTCAAAATTTGTTACTGGTCTTTAAAATAAGTTTAACTATCTATCTACATTTTCTTTCTACATAGATAAAATATATTTCACTTATTGATGGCCAGCCATTGAAGAAACTGCTTTAACTGTTGTTTTAGAAACGAAAGTTTTTTCACTGCACTTGCAGTATTAATGAGCTACCTTTAAATAAATTTAAATGTGTTTAAATTTCTTTGTCAAATATATACTATAATAATAAAAATATACTTTTCTTCGTATTACTGTTGAGTGCAGAAAAACAACAAAATACGAAATACATTTGTTTCACTATTTTTAATCGAACATTGCCTTTGTTTCAATTCTAGTTTAA